CCAAGGCACAATGGTCCATGCCATTTAGACTGAACTTGGCCGTTTCTCAACGGCTGATAGCAGGATTACGATCACCCTTTGGCTTTCACCCCTAACGGTACCGCCCTTGTTTGTCTTCGTTCACTTCTGCTTTTGCCCAATATACTCTCTAATAACTTCCTGTGTCAATTCTAGGTGCGTTTCAGCGCGAATCGGTCATTCTATGCTCAGAATTTGACAGTTAACGTTTTAAATACTGTGACGATTTCTCTGGAAACCCAAATGTGTACATGTATGCGTTATTTACTGAATATCTACATGTATGCAGCAAATACTGCATACATGGCCAGGTACATAATTCGGCACATAGCTTTAGCATAGAGCTCAACGTGTGTACATGCATGGCCATGGCCATGTATGCAGTATTTGCTGCATCTGCTTACATAGTCATGTACACACTATTTGCTGCATACATGATCATGTACGCAGTATTTGCTGCATACATGTAGGTATTCAGTAAATAACGCATACATGTACACACTCGGGTTTCCAGAGTTGACAATAAGATACAAAATAAAGAGAAAGATACTCAGAGACTTTAAAGACTTTACGGACTTTATCTTTTTCTAAGAATGTTTCATGACATACATAGAATAGATGGCATATGACATGAGCATGACCCTTTTTCCTGGAAAAGTTTCCAGTTTTTCAGGATAAATTCGGATTTTAAAATTCCTAGCCGGGAAGGGCTGCGCTGATGGGGCTGTGCGTCCCGACGGCAGGACGGCAGGTGTTGGCCGTTCTCACGCCGTGACACTTGTTGTTTCTTGTCTCTCTCGCTCCAGTGCCGGGCCCTGGCTCGAGTGGGACAAGGACAAGAAGCGCCTCGACGAGCCCCAGGAGGTGCTAACCAGGCGGGCACCTTCCTTCGTGCGCGGATCGTAGAAGCTCACCCAAACTCTTTTTCTTGTTCTTTTGTGGAGTGCTTCTCTCTGCTCCGTGCTATCCCTAATGGCGCCTGGGCCCCGGAGTAGCTCAGCTGTGAGTCACTGGCCGCTGGCCGCCACCGTCCACGGTCCGGGCGGGAAGAGTCGGCCGGAGCCACGCTGAGGCACGCTCGTTGCTGCTTCCGATGCCTTGAGGCCCATCTAGACATTGTCGTTATTTGTATCCTCTGCGCTGCGCGTGTTCAGGTTCCCACGCTTGTCACTCGCATTGCAGGTTCGTGTGTCTTGTAGAAATATCTTATGTGGTGTCCTGTCCATTGCGGATGGTTCGCGGGAAACCGGCGACGCTCGCTGATCATTGCTTGGATTATTGCGAAGCCGCGCGTCACACAAAGTGATAAAGTAAGTCATTTCCTTTCTTATTGCTTCAGGGCCAAAGAACTTTACTCAATTCTTAATTGGGTTTATTTTTCTGCCTTTTTTGAAATGACTTATTGCAATAGTACAGAATGTGATGGTAAACCCCACCTACGTCGTCACCCACAAACGACATTGTTTCCTGCATCACCGTAAAGTTCTGTTCGAACGACCACCGTGCCCTGCGCCGTGTAAGACAAACCTCCGATGGTGGGAGAGTCCAAAAATGACGGTCTTCGCAAGATCCTCTAGCCCAAGCTCAAGAGCAAGCCAGACGTTTTATAAGTTAATGAACAACAAACTTATTTTGCTCAATTACGACATTTGTTTCATACATTTGTTGCATAAATAGAGGGTGTTCAGTAAATAACACACACTCACACACCTGGGTATCCAGTAAATACTGCAATCAAATAACAAACTTGGGTTTCCAGAGTGGCGTTATTTACCAAATATAGCATAAACTCATAGATCAGAGCAGACAGCGCAGCGACTGCTTTAAAAAAGTAAGGTGAATGTGCCTGTGTGTATAGGTGTACGTGCCAGCGGGCATGGTGCGAGGTTCATGCCCTCCACTGGAAACCACAAGATTCATTTTAGTCTCTCTCTCTCTCTCTCTCTCTCTCTCTCTCTCTCTCTCTCATCCCCGCTGTGTGTGTGTGTGTGTGTCCCTGAGCGTCAGACTGGACGGATTGGGATGTTCCTCTCGCCGCTTCAGCCGTGAAACGCCAGGAATGTTAAGTAGGCCTTAAGCGTCGTCAGTTCGGCAGGTGGTCCGCGCTGGTCCCCGGTGATGCCCCTCGGTGGCGTCCCGGGCTATAAAGTTGTAAAGTCCGCGCTTTGTCACATCCCGGAGGCGATGGGGCGCCGACGGCGAGATCATGAAGGAGATTTGACTCGGAATGTCGTATCGCTATGGACGGGTCGTCCGGGCTGTTCTCGGCGCCCGCTCGCTCCTCAACAAGATCACCCCCGTGCCCGTGAGCTCGTGCGCGCCGCTTGCTCTCGGTACCACTTTGGCTTTGGCCACACAGGATACGCGCGCTATCGGTTGAGTACCCGCGCCCGAGAGCGCCGAAACCTCGCCTGCCGCGCCAACAACCCCGAGGCGGGCCGGGGTGGGGCAGAATCCAGTGCAGGCGCCACCTTCCTCGCCTGATAAGACCCTGGCGCCAGCTGAGTGATCACCAGTTAAGTGCCTTGCTATGGAGTCCACGGCGGCGCTGCACCGGCCCGCCGGCTCTTCCCCCTCCCACTTGTATTCCCTTATTTCACGCTTGTCCCCGTATCGTTCATATCTCTTTTTATGCCCGTCTCTCTCAGGAGGCTCCCGCGCTCGCCCGTCCCTCTGATTCTACGTATCACATTTGCGGAACTCGATTCCTACAAAAACAATCTTGTATTCAAAATAAATTTTCTGTGGACTCGGGTTACACTGATAAACTAAGTGTGCAACTCCTTAAAATTTATAAGTACAAGTGCACGTTGAATACTTGCAACTCCATAGTTGTGCACTTGCAAGTGTGCAACTTCTCAATTGAAGACTTTCTTACACGGAAAGCCGTAACAAGTTTTCGATTTAAGTTTGTTGTCAATGCCATTAACTGTTTTGATCACAAAAAACAGTCACAAGATCGTTTTCAACAACTACTTCTCCACTGCACATTATGAAAATATTTTCGTTAATTTACAACATATTTACATATTTTGTAATTTTTGGTCTTCAAAATAGGAAATGTGAATAATTTTTCGACAGCCCATTCTTGCTTGTCAATGAATTCCAAGTCGAAACCCAGTACTTGTAGTTTTACAATTTCAACTTGTTATTTTACAACACACATTGATACTGTAACCCTTTCAAGTATTTCTCACAGTGGCAGCATTGTGGTACAACAGCTGCCCCATTTCCACTCGGCCCCACCCAAGCCCGCGTCCCGACTGGACGTCCCGGATGGACGTAAGCGAATTGGAACACAAATGCATACAGTCCCGTTGTTTTAATTCGAGTGCACCACATATGGGATGCTCATGAGCTTGGCCGACTACTCTGCAAAAACAGTATCCATCTGGTCCTGTTCTTGGTACTCGTTACGACAACAACAACTTAGAAATGCGACTAGGGATTATTTTGAAGCCGAAATTTTTCCGAAGAAACTGGAAACTTTATTCCAACATGCTTTTTAGGAAAAAATTAAATCCTTAAATGTGATAATAATTCTCATGTCGGACAAAATTGGAGTTCCGCGGTGCCTCCAATTATTTACTCATGCACTGTTAGAACCCAAGCTGTTTTTTGTGGTTTCCTTTTTTTCAAATTCATTTGTGTGTTTTGCAGCTTCACCGTGTGCTGAAGCGGTCGAGCCGCCGCCGCGAGCGGTCCGTGGTCCAGCAGCAGCAGCTGCAGCAGCCGGTGAGTGGACTGGTGTTTGAATAACCCCGCCGGGGCGGCACTCGCCGCCAGAGCCGGGTAGGGAGGAAGTAAAGGGAGGCCGAAGAAGCGCCGGGGCTTTTTTACGTTAGAAAGGTTACACCCAGTGAAAGCAGCCTTCGAACGGAACCGCGCGGCGGGGGGAGTGCGCGAGCGCGTCGCAGCGCCGAGCGCCACTGCCGCCCCCGCCGTGGAAGTGCAGGGCGCGGGAGAAGGTGCTAAACACCGTAATTAGCAAAGCTTTAGAATGTTGACATAAGCCGCGCACGCAACTCGCACGCAATGGGGTGAGGCGGCTCCTTTCCGTGTACAGGCTGAGCCACTGTGGGACTGCTCTCTTCTTCTCTCGTCGCCCCGCCCTCTCTCCGCTAACGCAGCAGCTCCGGTCGCGCCTCACTATTTGCGCGCAGGGCGTTACGAAAGTCATTGCAGTATTTGCACGCAACGCCGCCCAACGAGTTGGAGTGCATATCCCTGCCGGGTGGTGGGTGGGATCGAGTCGCCTGGGATGTGGCAGACTGAACTGAACGACCCCCCCCCTCTCTCTTTCTCTCTCGCTCTCTCGTCCGCTTAGTGCGTTGGTTGTGAAAGGCCGCCCTCGCCCTCCTCCCTGCCCGTGGTGCTCTACTGAACTATGACTGCGCGCTGGTCCCCTGAGGGGCGGACCAGAAGGTTGGCAATGCAAAGCTTGACAGGGGCTCGGGGCTCACCAAGCAGCCCACTCTTGCTTCTTCCTTCTCCCTCTCTCTCCCTCCCCTTCTCCCCCCCCCTCTCTCTCCCGCTCTTTTGTCTCTATGTCTATCTCTACGATCGCATCTTTCCTATTAAGGCGTTTTGCACGTCCAGTTATACCACGTGCACGCGACACTTGGAGCACATATGCTACCAGCCCGAGCAGTCCATATGCGATTCTTGGTCTGTTCCCTAAGATTTAAATAACGTTTTGCATAACATGTCGAACTATAAATGCAGGTGTAACTTGCTTTGATTTTGGAAGAGCGACGAAACGCTTCCAATATCGTTCCTCTTGGACGAGCGACGCTTAGCGTCGCTTCATTTAAGTGAAATATTAGAATATTGCTTTATTTTCCCGACGAACGTCACTCAGATGAGTGATGATACCAAAACCATAATTCATCTGGAGCCACATGAAACTCTTGAGTTTTCTTTTTTCGGAAACCAGATAGTTACTTCTAATAAGTTCTCTAACCCGACGTTCGTCATACATTTGAACCTACGAATGCATGATCATTTTTGACAGCACCAAATGTCTGCTTGCGTTTGTGTGTGGGCTTTCGGGTCCCTTACGTAAGGACCCTGGCCGGTACTTGTGCCCACACGACCTGCTGGGCTGGGCGCTATGGGAGCCTCGCCGCGCGATGGGACCCTACCGTCGTTAATTAGGCCCACGCTCTGACCTGGACCTTAGGCCCCCAGCCTCCGGTCCACGAGACCCAGTCTGCTGCCACCGCCGGGCGGCGGCTTTCTCTGCAGATAAAGTGCTCAAAAAATTTAACTCCAGACAAAGCAGTGTGTGATGTTTAAATCAGTAGGAACCCTTCTTGAACAACCCAAATAACTTGATAACGTGGTTGTCACATGTCGCACACTGTTTTCTGTGTGTGCCACCCTCACACATTAGTGTGTGGTGAATTTTCTGTTGCACTTTTGCATGGATATCGTTTAAATCAGTATTTTTTCAGGAAAACATACATTTTGTTCCAAAAACCCGTGAGTGGCTCTATAATTTGAACACGAAACAGTCGTGAATAATGCATTTTTATGGTCTTGCAGCTGCTACCGAGTTCATGTCTAAACGTCGATCGTCCGAGATTGGCCCGGTCTCTGACGGTGTATAGGTAGCGCCAGCGCCGTGTGGTCACTTAGCATACGATGGATGTGTGTTAGCGGGAAATCCACCGGACAGGCGATGCAGCGAAGCACCCACCACCTGTGGGAGCAGGAGTGCAGGCCGCGGGAGCGCCCCGTTAGAGGAGTACTCTTAAAAATAACATGGATTAAGATTTGGGAAAAAGGGGGGCGGCATTGGAGCTCCTAATATGTCAGAGAGCCGACGAAATCCTCAGAAATTATCCTTCGAAATGCGATTGATCGTATCCGCGATGAGTGACAGCCGTCATCGGTCTCTCAGACATGACCGACAGCCTCCACCGACACATCACCACCGCAGCGCTCCACCTGGGGAGCAATCAGAGAGAAAGTCTCGTAAACACTTGTTACACACTATTTGTGCTCGTCTGGGAATAGGCTCCGCTGAGCACTGCGGCTTGCTGTAAAGCTAAACCTGCTCTACCGCGAAGTAAATAAATAAATAAATAGGTACAAGTGTCTCATGTTTGCACCTTTACCTTCACAGTCCACATTTCTGACCGACTCCGTTCCTCTCCTTTAGCACAGTGTCATCCACAGATCGCCTGGTCATTATTTCCTCCTCATTTAATTTTGTTGTCTTTTCCAGCAGTGAAAGCCAACAACGGGAATACTCCCCCCGGAAAGGGGTCGCTCGGGGCGCAGTATTAGGTCTCTGAGGTGACCTCAGCCCCGTCCCACCCCCACCCCGCCTCTCCCCGACTATCCGCGCTCAGTTTTTCTTGCCATCCGTCCGCCCTTTCTCGCACAATGAATTTCACTGCCATTATTATTTTGCCGTGCACGAAGGTCACAACACTACTCTTTTTCCCTTGCTGCAGACAATACCGCCGCTCGTACCAGAAGACAGAGTGGAAACGAAAGGGGGGGAGGGGGGTCTTTTGACCCATACCAGCTGCGGCGCTCTGCGGCTGGCGAGCGGAGTGACCCACCGCAAAGTACCGAGCTGTTGTCTCCCGCTGCTTTTGCTAATGCTCGATTGCATTCCCTTCCCCGCACGACCGTTGTGCGCGCCTATTCCCAATTGCCGTCGCCGTTGCTCCAGGAGCTTTGTCCTTATGATGACATCGTAACCTGATAGCCAGAGAGAGAGAGAGAGAGAGAGAGAGAGAGAGAGAGAGAGAGAGAGAGAGAGAGAGAGAGACGTGTACGGTACCCTGCTCGATGTCAAAATATGGTAATGGTCGACACGCACTGCACGAACGGCAGCTTCAGGTGCCCACCGAAAACCGTTTCAATCGCCACACTTGCAGCAATCCTGAAAATAGGACACAAGGGAGGCAGGGTCGTACCCTCTTTCTCTTACAATGAAGATTGCCTCTGAATCGATATCTGCGCAAAGTCAGTCCTGCTGCATGAAGTCGAAAAAATAAAATCAGTGTCACTTCTTAAGGTGTAAAACTCTCTAAATCTGAATTCCAAACTGTTTGAATGTTATCATAACAACGGCACTTCCTCATCGATGTGGATTTTTCCCGTTATGCTAACGTCCGAACAGTTTGAGTTAGTACTAGTATTCTACACTTTATTGAGTTTAATGCCATCAGAAGTTACACTGATTTTTATTTTTTATTTTGATGTACAATTCTTTGGTTTTTGCTCCAAATTCAGTTAAAGAAGCTGTCCATTTCCGAGTAAAAGTAAACTTTGCATCAATTACCTGCTTGTAATAGAACCGTGTTTTGTGTTTAAATCCAGGAGCACGTATTCTCAGGGTGACATAGTCAAACCTGCTAACGACTGCATTAAGTCTGTGTTCTTAAATTAGCAAGAGAATGGGGGCACGGCTAGTATAGCTGTAAATAAACTATTTCGTATAATGGTTAACTAAAGAGTGTGAGACAGTCATGCACCGGTCAGCAGAAAAGCGTGTCCTTCATTATGTACCTGTTCTTTTTAAAAACATCTGTTGTTTTTTTTTTTGTGTGTTAAATATTTTAATCTTCATTGCGTGTCTCCTCGCTCGCTGCGGACGCGCGGGCTGGACTGTCTTCTGGACCCACCTGCTATGCGATGCAAACGTGCTGCCCCGGCTCCGCCCGTGCCTAGCTCTTGGAGTCACCGCTACGGCGTGGCGCTGTTGGTCCGCAGCACGCTGGCAGTGACCCCTGATACCCTAGCGAGCGAGCTGCCCCCCACCCCCCTTTTTCACCCGAGCTCCGCTCCGTGCTCGCCAGAGTTGAGTTCCTCGGGTAGCTCCCATCCAACCCTGCTCTCTCTCTCTCTCTCTCTCTCTCTCTCTCTCTCTCTCTCTCTCTCTCTCTCTCTGGGAGTGGGCCTCTCTTCCACTAGAGCAGCGCGTTTATTTTACACATTTCTGTTCTGTGGGCGCCCTCATTGTGCTCATTACTCCGGAGGTCGTGGATCGACCTTCCCCGTCTAATATCGCGTGCCGTGCGGTACTGTCTGAAGGGGCCGGCCGACTACCGATAGCATCGGAACGAACCAGAAGTGGCACCACTTACTGACTCGCCAGAGGGTTCCAACTAGGTGGTAGGACAGTGTAAACCGAGAAATGGACAGTTTACGCTACCGAACGAATAAGTAAATGGGCCAATAAGTCAACGGAATTTCATTAAGTATGGAGACGCGTTTTAGCCTTCGCAGTTTAAGGCTCACTTCCTGGACGTGCGACGGGGTGGATGGAGTGCATAAGCCTCAATGCCTCTAGTCTCTCGGTTACCCTTGGCGTCTGCACCGTGCCCATCGACCGTACTCTCTCTCTCTCTCTCTCTCTCTCTCTCTCTCTCTCTCTCTCTCTCTCTCTCTCTC